CTCTGCTGACTGGTCCTTGGTCCTCCAGTAAGTAAATCTGACGCGCTGGCTCGCGCCGCCTGACGCCCGGGCGGGACGCCCCGCCAGCCTCTCATTAGCACGTTCCCTGAAGCGTTGGCTTGGCTTACAATTAGTCCGCGAGAGGGACCCGGAGGGACCAGAGCGGGCCCCGGCCCGGGCCACGCTACTCACCTCCTCGCCGATGGAATGCGACTGTTGGAGCACTCGGCCCGGCTCGCGCCTCATGCGGCCCGCCCACCCAGCCAAAGTGCACAAAACTATGAGTCACCGCAAAGGAGGAGTGAGGTACCACGATCACTTATTTTAGCCGATTAAAACATCTGCACTGAACATTAAGTATACGCAAGTAACGTTAAGGTGGCAGCTAGCTCTAACTATCGATGGCCGTATGAATAGGTAGGCTATATTTTCACTCGCTATTGCACCTTCATCCTTCGTTGAGTGTTGCTGCAGCAGCATTCTGTACAACGGCCGTGGCCGCCCCTTTTCTTTAGATATTGCTAACACCAAATGCGTGAGGGAGAAACAGTTATTTGCTAAGAAAAATAACTAAGAAGGATAAAGCAACAAATACAGTACATACGGGGCTAAGGCAAAACTCTAAACTGATTGTGGCTGGGCCTGGGCCGGGTGTGCCTCTTGCGCACCTCGGCTGCTCCACTACTTAATGGGCGTCGATAACCCTGCGCTAATTTGCCACACGGCTATTTAAGGCCGGCATATCGCGCCCCACCACGCCGTACCGTCTCCCCCCGCCGACTGGTCCCCGGCCGGTCCCGTTTCAGTAATTGTTCCGTACCGAGCACTATACAAACGAAACACACATCGCCAGGCCGGCCGGCCAGCAGAGGCAGATTGCCGAGCTGTTCAGAGGTACTTGAGGGGAATCAGGTTCTCCTCCGGTCTGCATGAATAATTCCATCTTGAAACTGACATGGGTTCGAATCAGTTCGGAAGCCTTCTCTCATTCTAGTTCCTTACCCGGCTGCTGCTTGCCGCAACGTCTCGTCTGCTTTGCACAGCCTGCGATATTGCTTTTGCAAAACCGGACGGCGGCCAAGCGGGTAAAGCTTCTCACTGACGGTGATTGGATTTCAGAAGGCGTTATAAAACGCGTGCATTAAAAAGTGTGTTTCGTACTCCAGTCGGTAGAACACACGGCGGGCTGCTAAAAGTATGGCCGGAGGGAGGAGGGAATTAAATTAATATTCGGGCGGCTTCGCTTTGCTTCGCGACTGGACCCGAATTCCCACGGCCTGCTGGCACGTTGTCAAACAGCATGATCCGTGAGCGTACCGTGGCCCTCAGCCCTCTGCAAACCACACTGTAAACATTTCCTGTTATTTTACTGAATATTTTGAGATAAAAAAAAAACAAGAAGAGCGAGGATAGAGGGAAAAGAGGGGTGGTTTTTCCCTTCTTAGTGACTGTCTAAAAACAGACTATGTCTCTTCCAGATTGTCTGTAAAATAATTGTTGACAACACTTTTATCTTTTCATAGTGGCGCAAAGAAATTGTAGTTTGATCAAATGGCAGTTAAAATTTATGATTTTTATAGCGCACACACTGAGGAAAGTTTGTATTCGAAATGAAATATCTCGTTCGGAAACGAAACTACTGTCATATTTTTATAGGAGTTCGTGACAACTTGTTTGGACAGTGTATGTAGGTAGACACATCTAAAACCACGGCAGAGATGAGACAAGTTTACCAAAGTTTACCGAGACTTTGAACGTTTACAAACAGTGCAAATGGCAGCAGCCGAACCGAGCCGAACGGAAACGAGACGGTGGTAAAGATGGCGTACGCGAGCCGCACGTTGCAGGAGACGGTGCGATGAGCTCGGCGGGGAGGGATGCGAACATGAAGAGACAATGATGAAGTCGGATGCAAAATGGAGGCGGATGAGCACCATTAATCTCCGGCTCCAGCTGACTCACGGCGCAACCACGGTCAATCAGGGTCGCCAGCTAGATAGCTGGAGAGATAGAGAGGTGGCTGGAGAAGTGTGTCTAATCAGGTGGCTACACTGTTATTTAAAGGCGTCCCGTCAGAGTGCGACAAAGGCGTATGCTACAGAAACCAGTGCGACTTAAGTCGCAGTCTGGGCATACACCTTTGTCGCATTGCCACCATACACCTTTGTATGCATAAAATGCCGGACAACCCCTAAGCCCCCTGAGCGGGTGCTTGGCCTGCATACACCTTAGGAGTGCACTTCATGGGCCTGGAGCCCACGGCTCACAGCTCCCTCAAACCGTGTACTATTTAACCCAACTCAAGGTGTATGGAGGCCAAACACCTGCCCAGGGGGCTTGGCAGGGGCTTAGGCCCTGTCCGGCATTTTATGCATACAAAGGTGTATGGTGGCAGTGCGACAAAGGTGTATGCCCAGACTGCGACTTAAGTCGCACTGGTTTCTGTAGCATACGCCTTTGTCGCACTCTGACGGGACGCCTTTGAAATAACAGTGTATGGGGACCGCCGGGACCGCAATGTCATCCTCCATACCTCAGATCTCGCAAACACGATAAGGTGGGGCGTAAAGTGGCGGGGCCTCCCGCGCAGCCTGACGGGGCGTGCACTTGGCGCAGAGATGATGGTTCAATTTCGCCGACCATACAAAGCCTGAACGAGTGGGTCCTTGCACCTACTGAGGTTCAATAGGCACACTGCACGTTTCTTACGAACAACTGCTCTTTCGTAACGTACAAAGGGTTTGGAGCATTTGTATTAGCCTACAAACAAATCGTTTGTATTACGAAGAGCTTCTGGTTTGTATTACAAACGATGCTTTTCGTATTAAGAATGGGGACTGTTCGTAACATGAAGGAAAATCGTTCGTTATGGCTGCTTCAGGATCCTTTATACGTTACAAACCCAATTCTTCGTACACACTAATTGAAAATTCAATTCAACTGGTATCATGTTCAATGAATTCAAGCCTGCAGCCACTTCACTGTGAAAAATTTAATCGTAAACTTAGGCTACGACATTTCTTGTAATTTGGAATTACAAAATAATGTTGTAAATTTACAGCGGACCATTTTTGCTCCTCGATTAATTCCAAGTCGATAGGAAGTGATTGTAATTTTACAACTTCAAGATGTAATTTTACGGACTCATATCATGGAAAATTTTCCTGTGAACTTACGAGTATTTTACAGTGTTCAGTTCAAACTAATCTAAATCAATTTGGCTGGAATAACCTCGAGCAAAATCATTTCTATACGTGAGTTTCTATTCCGTTTTTGGTGTATACCCTGTAAAATCCCTTCTCGATTAGTTGTTATAGTGCACACCTCCGCACCTGGTGCGTCCCAGCTGCGGCCAGCAGGGTAGGACAACTAGGCAGGCGCGGGGCAGGGCGCTGGCCTTCGCCCCTCCATCAGCCCCGCGGGCGCATCGGACACTCAATTGAAGACGAGTCACCGACGCCGAGTGTCATTTAGAGGCCCATCGCAAACGCGTTATCGGGACCGCGATCGGGCGATAAAGTTGTCACGGCCATCTCTCCTACGGGACGCCTCGCCTGCCGAGACGATGAGCGCCGCTCCAGGGCGTTGGGCCCTAGCCTGCGCGGCGTGGTAAAACGAAGTGTAAAACAGGCCCCGCAATGGCAGATAAACAAAGCCAGAGCAATGCGCTCGTCCAGGGAAGGGGGCTAGAACTGCTGGCTGGGCTAAGCTAACGCGTGACCTACCGATGAATTCGATAGGATTCCATCTTCTATAGGCACATACTCGCGGTGCTACAGAACGAGTCCGCTACCGCTGGATGTGATGTGTGCTTGCGTGGCTCGTATCGGCGTACACCTGCAGGCTGCAGGGCAGCAGGGCGGGGTGGGGCTCGAGCTGCAGGGCAGGCCCCACAGCAGGGCCCTCCTGCGGGACCGCCGCGCCGCACGTGAGACCGCTCTATCACAGCCGCTCCTGCCTTGTTCGGGCGCTGCTCCGATGATAGCGGCCTCGGCGGCACAACAGCACAAGCCACGTCCAAACGCCGCATTTCTCATCGGTGGCACACAGCAGTACGCGCTCCCCTACACACACAACGCACGTACACACACACACTAAAAGGGCGTAACAAAAATTAGTGATTTTTGAAATTGAGAAAACAATGGTGCGAACACGATTCGTCAAATTTCAAGATAGGCAAACATCATTAATCACTAAGCACACACCGAACGCGCGTTTTTCCTCCGTCTCCGTCCCTGTGTTTCTCCCAGACAGGCGCCTCGGCTCCGGGCTCCCGACGCATGGCGGGGTGCCGCCCGCCGCCTGCGGGTTCGCAAATCGCTACTTGGACTGCAGTCTGCGACCACACGCGCCATCCAGTGCCGTCTAAGGCTAATGGCGGCCCGGGCCGCAGGACGCGCGCAGAATGTGAAAACAAGTGGGTGACGCTGCGCCCGCTGCGCGCTGCTGGGCGCGGTGGCGCGCGCGTACGTGATCACTATTGGCGCGCGCACTTTATGCAACAACAACAGGGCACAGCGACGCGCTTATTGATTGCCCGCACGGCCGCTGCATTATATTTCGAGTAGGAGTGCCTGCCTCACCGGCCCATGCTACGTGCCCCCCCCCCCCCCCCCCCCCCCCCCCCCCCCCCCCCCCCCCCCGCGCGCTCAGGTTGCGCACCGACTCACGTGCCACAACAGGAGTATCCGTGAAAGCGTCGTTTGTCTCCACTCCTCCTCGGAACCCTTTGGTGCATCCCCCGCTCCTCCTCCTCTTTCCCCATCCCCTCTCTTTTCTGAGGCTTGTCTAGCGCCGGATGGCTTGTATCTCATACGCTCAGTTACGCCTGGTTCCTACCCCTCCCCTCCTCCATTCCCCCGTCGGCCGTGTACGCCGTCATCGTGCCCCCGACGCGATCAGTCAGAGGAGAAACCCCTTTAACACGTCGACAATGATACGGGCAGCCGCATTAGTCAGCGGCGCCGAGCGGGGCCGCGCGCGGCGAGCAGGGTCCTCACCTCCTTGCGGCCCTCCGGCGGTGAGGCGGCGCTGTCGCCGACAGCCTCGTGGGGCTGGGGCACCCTCGGCGGCGGCGGCCTTCGGCTCTGCATCCAGGGCGACGGCGTCACGATGCTCGTCATCGGCGGCCGTGTCCTCGAAGGGCTGCCGTCGTCCTCCTTCCTGTCGAGCCTGCCTTGCTCCGGGAACGACGAGCTCTTGGCGGAGGTGGGGCTGGGCACGAGCGGGGCGCCGGGGGGCATCCCGTGCAGCGGCCGCGCCCACATGTCCGGGGGCGGCAGCGGCAGCCCGGGGGGCAGCCCCGGGGGCAGGCCGGGGGGCAGGCCGTGGGGCGGCGCAAAGGCGAGGTGGGGCGGCAGGTGGGGCGGCAGGTGGTGGGGTGGGGGCGGCTGCAGGTGCAGCGGCAGCGGCAGGTGGCGGCCCATCATCACCTCGTACTCCGACAGGCCGCAGGTCGGCGGACAGCCCAGCGGCCCTAGTGGGGTGAGCGCGCTGTGCGGCCGCGGCTTGGAGGCGCCGAAGGCCGAGGGCGAGGCGCGGTGGTGCGGGTCCGGCGGGCAACACGCCTGCGCGGGAGGGGTCGCCGCGTCCCCGATGGGCACCTTCACGTCGGACATGATGGACGAGCTGGAGCTGCCCGAGTAGCAGCCGCTGTCCGAGCACGCCGTCGTGGCCGGCAGCGGCGAGGGCATGTCCTTGAGCACCTTGACCTGCAGCGCCTCGGCCGTGAGCAGGAAGGACCCCAGCCGCTCCCGGGACACGGCCACTCCGCCCGTGTACATGAACTGCAGGAGCGCGCGCATGTCCTCGCGGTGCACGTCAGCCAGGATGATGGTCGTGTGCTCCGCGCTCGGGTGGTCCAGCAACAACCTCTGCAACAGAAGAAGAAGATCGCCAGGTAAATTCCCTGGAATGCAAGTAGACACAACTTAGCACCTATGTCAAATGCCCCGATATTGGATTAATAAAAAGTGTGCGGCAAAAAGGCTCAGGGTCATCTGGGATCTTTTGGGTGCTGTTCCAGTTCAGGGCAGCAAAGCATTATGAGACTGGGGAAATATAAAGAAATCCGGTTGTCCGTGATATCACTCCAACCGGGTGGACCCAGCCACAGCGTCCACTCCAGAGCACGCAACGCACCGCCAGAGACTCTTACTGCGATAACTCATGTTTTCACCGGGGTAACATAGTTTTTCGAATCAGCACCCAACTAGCCGCGCCGGTGTCTGTTTACATAACCGATAAAGTTCCCCGTCTCGGAGCGGCAGCCGGGTTTATTTCAACGCGTTCTACAATCTCGAGTCGGCCGCTCCTTTTTCTGACACCGCATTTGATCTGAACCGCCTTCCTTCCCCAAAGAACAAACTGCAGCCGAGTTGATGATTTGCGGCCGGCCGAGCTAGGTGGCCCCGAGTGCCTCGAGGTGGTCCCGCGGCGCCCCCGGCGGGCCTCCGCTCTCGTCCCAACACCTCGCCGACGTCGACCGCCCGGGCCGAGGCGTCCACTTTAGTGGCCGCCGCGGCGCACAGCACGGGCCGCTTGTAGTTATACGGCCCGAGCCTGCGCTGGGGCCGGGGCGGCCGGGGCGGCCGGAGCACTGGCCCGGTCCGGCACACACCGCGACACGGGGCCGGTCCGGGGCCAGCCCGGGGGGGAGGGGGTCGAGGTTCAGGGGGCGGCGGTCTCGCGTGCGCGGCGCACATGAGGCGCCCGGCCGACAATGAGCCCCATTAGCCAGCGGCCTGTTTACATCCCGGCCGGGAGGAGGACCGGCACCGCAAATAATCTGGCGGACCGGCCGGCCGGAGGGAGATCGAGAAACGTTCGTGAAGAGAGGTAAAAGGAGGAGTGGCGACCCTAAGCTCCGGGCGCGCCGCGTCACTGGAGATCATCGCCGGCGACCCCTTTAAACCGAGAGGGGGGGGGGGGGCTATGGGAAGAGAGTGAGGTCATCCCGTGCGTGCAGACAGGTCGCTCTTCAACGTACAGTAGCTTCGAGACACATCACCCAGGCCCCCGCAGTCGCAGCTCAGAGGGCCGGCGGCCGCGCAGGGCAGATGGAGCAATTTCTCCGCGGCCGGGCGGCCGGCCTGCATAAAGTAGATTACTGCGGGGGAAACGGTAAACAAGATGGCCATCAAGGCAGGCCGGGGACTGGGCGGCATTAACGTCTCGCGGATGACTTCCTCCCAGATCAACAACGACTGATTCTGACCCTCCCGCCCCTTCTCCGCCCCCGCCGCACGCACCGCCGCAGAGCCACGCAGAGCGGAGCCCCCAACCTACAGCAAGGCGGCAGTAACCTGCCGGACGGCCTCCCCCTCCCATGCCTGGCGGCGCCCGCCCAGCTTCCCACAAACAGTCTCGGGTCGTCGAATCGCCCGTAATATAATCGCGGAGACACACACGACGACGACCCGAAAAAATCTGTCGTTTTGCGAGCGCCACCCGCCGGCGGGGTGGCCCCGGGTGGCCCCGGCCCGCCCCACACACTGGCACACATTGACCCGCTCGTAAACGTCTCGGCGGGGCCGGCCGGCCCGGAGCAGGCCGCCTGGCCGCGCCAAATTAATGTTGTTTGCCCGTTTTAGGGCTGTTTAACGCTGCGGAGCCCGGTCGGCCCCGGCCTCCCGCATAACTGTCCCCGCTAATGGCGCATGGGGCTGCACAGGCCGCTCCACGGCGTCGACCGGAGGGGACCGAAGGAGACCGGAGGAGACCAGAGGAGACCGGAGGCGGCGAGCGCGGGATCTGCGGTTATTCGCAGGCAAGTCGTCCGGGTGCCACTGCCGCTGCCGCTGCTGCTGCCTCCTCCGTCCGTCTGGTCGTGCCAGCGCGCGCGAGAGAGCGGCCGGGCGTGGGCGGGGCGCGGGCTAGGCCGACCCGCCGCGCTTTGCCGCCGGCGGGCAGCCTACGCGCCGGGCGCTCTGCTCTGCTCTGCAGCGGCTCCCGGCAGCCAAGTGGGCCGGCGACACAAAACGCACGAAGATAGGCCACCTTGAATTAAAAACAGTGGCTTTCGTTTTGGCGAAAGTTCTAACCGCGAGTTTTACATCAAACCCGAATAATAAAGGGAGAAAGAATTCACATTTCCCGCCGTGCGTGCAGTTCGAAGAGACACGTTTAGAGACGGAGACGCAGGTTAATTTTGTGTTTGCGGCTTGTTCGGACATCACTTAGCCTGGCGCGGCCAGCATTTCTGGCAGGGTGGCTGTCGGCCGCTCCCGCACGCGATACAAGGGGGCTTCAGTGTTATTTATCGCACTCGGGACGATAATTACCTCCAAAAGCGAAGCGACACGGCGGGGCAGAAACAGACAGAAAAACAAAATAAAAGACTCAATCCGGATTGAAGATCTCTTCGGATGGAGAAAATGAGGTGGAGAGGAGAAAAGGGTGTTATCCTTTTTGCATGGTAGCGAAGCGTTCCCGACCATCAGAACGTTTGGAAGAAAGAGCGGGTCCCGTACTTCAACAAACAAAAATACATCCTACTATATTTTACAGAGAAAGAGACCTGGGGCGCGCACACGACTTTGGCGCCACACTGACGGCGCGACACTCATTACAGTCGGGGCCGTAAATGAGGCCCGTTGTAACGAATCCACCCGTTTTTACGCGCATTTGCATGTCAAACCTCGGGGCGACGACGGCGACGGACGCACTCATCGTAAAATAATGTTACAACCCCCGTGTGTATGTTGTCGATGCGGCTGTAAATAATGAAGCCGTGTTTATAGCGATCAGCGGACGCGCGCTTGCTCCCCCCCCCCTCCCCCGCGTTCAACTCACCCCTTCCCCCTTCAGTTCCTCCCTCACCCTGCGCGCACGAACGCACGCACGCACGCACGCACGCACGCACGCACGCAAGCACGCCCCGCCCCGGCCGTGAAAGTGGACTGCCGAATGGCGGCTGGCGTGCATGCATAATGAACCGTAACGACCTCCGCAGCAACAGTTACAGAAGCTGCCACGTGATCAGTTCCCTGGACGCAATTATACACTACTAATGTAAGGCCCAGGCCGCTTGTTCAGCTAGCAGCAGTAGCTCCGGAGGCAGTTACCTACCTACTGCGGGCGGCGGGGCGAGCGTGCAGACGGAGGCACGCGAGAG